GTTCAAAATTTCAAAAATGGGTAATTCGGTAAGCGTATAGATAACATTTTGAATATAAATAAAATGATGACGGATGTACATAATTACACGTGCAATGAATAATTTATGAGATCACATTGTAGTTAAGAAATATTGAGAGAATATATGAATTTGTGCAATATTAATTGAATGTTGGTCGCTGCTGCATGAACGAAGCACAGGATGGAATTATTTTTGTTAGATAATTATGATCTATGTAATTCTGCGATAGATCCACTAAATATAGCATATACGAATATGTAATATGCAGAAATTGCACTAGGAACAAAAATCGCAAAGCTCAACGCGGAAAAACGAGTCAGGCAACAAGTCGCATCGAAAGAGCGAGAGCATTAATCGCACTAGAAGCTTCGAGTAGGTACGAGACGCGCAGGCGCCAGATATAAATAGGCGGCGGCGGGCTTCGAGCCTCAGTATTCAACGAGAAAGCAAGCGAAACACACTACGAGATAAGACATCTCAGAGCGACTTTTTAAGTAAGCGACATACATAAACGAAGTTTTAAAGCATTTGTAATAAAGTTTTGAGAGACAAAGTGCAAGAACAAGTAAGAAGAAAAATGCCAGCAATTGGAATCGACTTGGGAACGACGTACTCTTGCGTTGGAGTATGGCAGCAAGGAAAGGTGGAAATAATTGCAAACGATCAAGGAAACAGAACGACACCGAGCTACGTTGCGTTTACCGACACAGAGCGTTTGATCGGAGATGCGGCCAAGAACCAGGTGGCGATGAACCCGGCGAACACGGTGTTCGACGCCAAGAGGTTGATTGGCCGCCGCTTCGACGACCCGAAGATTCAGAGCGACATGAAGCACTGGCCATTCCGTGTGGTAAACGAGGGCAGCAAGCCAAAGATTCAGGTGGAGTTCCGCGGTGAGGTAAAGAGGTTCAGTCCGGAAGAGATCAGCTCGATGGTCCTGACGAAGATGAAGGAGACCGCCGAGGCGTATCTCGGCGGTAAAGTGCGGGACGCGGTGATCACTGTCCCGGCCTACTTCAACGACTCCCAGCGCCAGGCCACCAAGGACGCGGGAGCCATCGCAGGACTCAATGTCCTCAGGATCATCAATGAACCTACGGCAGCGGCACTCGCCTACGGTCTCGACAAGAATCTCAAAGGGGAACGAAACGTTCTGATCTTCGATCTCGGCGGAGGAACCTTCGACGTGTCCATACTCAGCATCGACGAGGGCTCTCTCTTCGAGGTGAAGGCAACGGCCGGAGATACTCACCTGGGTGGAGAGGACTTTGACTCGAGACTCGTGGACCATCTGTGCAAGGAGTTCGAGAGAAAGTTCAAAAAGAACATCAAGAGCAACCCCAGAGCGCTCCGTCGATTGCGAACAGCAGCGGAACGTGCCAAACGTACCCTGTCTTCGAGCACCGAGGCCACCATCGAGATCGATGCTCTCTTCGAGGGAATCGACTTCTACACAAAGATCTCGAGAGCTCGTTTCGAGGAACTTTGCGCCGACCTCTTCAGGGCAACTCTCGAACCCGTGGAGAAGGCTCTGGCCGACGCGAAGATGGACAAGGGCTCGATTCACGACGTTGTCCTCGTGGGAGGTTCGACGCGTATCCCGAAGATCCAGTCGATGCTGCAAAACTTTTTCTGCGGCAAGCAGTTGAACCTCTCTATCAATCCGGATGAAGCCGTGGCCTACGGAGCAGCGGTGCAGGCCGCCATTCTGACGGGCGAAGGCGATAAGAATTCTACTCTCCAGGACGTTCTCCTCGTAGACGTTGCACCTCTCTCCCTGGGAATTGAAACGGCAGGAGGAGTAATGACCAACATCATCGAGCGCAACGCTCGAATTCCCTGCAAGCAGACGCAGACCTTCACCACCTACGCCGACAACCAGCCCGGCGTGAGCATTCAAGTCTACGAGGGCGAGCGTGCCATGACCAAGGACAACAACCTTCTGGGTCGCTTCGAGCTCAGTGGAATCGCACCGGCTCCTCGTGGCGTTCCCAAAATCGAGGTGACCTTCGACATGGATGCCAACGGCATTCTTCACGTCACTGCCAAGGACACGGCCAGTGGTCGCAGCAACGATGTCAGAATAACCAATGATAAGGGACGCCTCTCCCGGGAGGAAATCGACAGGATGCTGTCCGAGGCTGAGCGTTACCGTGATCAGGATCGTGAGCAGCGCGAGAGGGTCGAAGCCAGGAATCAGATCGAGAGCTACGTCTTCTCCGTGAAACAGGCAGTTCAGGAGTGCGGCTCCAAACTGGAGCAATCTGACAAGGACAAGGTCATTTCCTTGTGCGAGGATACCATCAGGTGGCTCGACAACAACACCTTGGCTGAAAAGGACGAGTACAAACACAAGCTCGAAGAACTCCAAAGGCAGTGTTCGCCCATCATGACCAAGATTCACTCCGGTGGCTCCGGTGCTGCTCAGGATTGCGGTGGACAGTATCGACAGAACAACAACCAGTATTCCGGGCCCACTGTGGAAGAAGTTGATTAAACTTTAAATGTACCTGTAGGACGGAAAGTTTGTTGTTAGGAAGAAATCAAGACTTATTTTTTGTACATGTTAATAATGTTCCTACTGTAGAAATAGTTGTATTATATTATTCTTAATATTTGGGACGATGATGTATGTGCATCATGTACGTCGTACATTCTGAATTAGTTTTTCGCTGACAGTGTCACATTCATTCGTTGTACATAATATTCTCATTCATTTGTATATCATTCCTCTAGTCAAATAAATTATTTTTTTGAATAAATTGTTGCCTTTCTCCAATAATTTTCCTCATTCGCTATTCTGTCGCTGGAGTTATATTTAGATTCATAACTGTGTCCATTATTTTATTGTCTCCTCGTTTCATGATTCAGAGGATTCTTGTTATCACATATCCTATTATTTAGCTTTATAGTTACCGTTATCAACAAAGTAATGTTTTAAATGAAAGATGCAATTTTTATCGTGTTGAGGTCAGTCTGTTGACGATTGGGGAGGAGACTGTCTTGTTACACCAGGTTTACGTGTCACAACTGTCCGTTGCATATAACACTGATGTCGTCACGGGGGTTACTTAACATTTTTAGCTTTATATAAAATAAATATTACAGTCGAGAGATAAGATAGTAGGAAACCTTATATTTAAGAGTTGTGTAATATGGTAACAATAGAATGGTTTACACATTCTTATATTTGAGAGACTGCAAAAGTGACATACGAGAACCACGTTTTTCGTCAAAGCTTTACCTCTTTCATTCTGTGCACACATTTTTCTTATATGCTTCTCTGTCAATATAAAATAGAGATACATCCATGGGGACTTACATCACTGCAAATGCTGAACGTATCATTTGCCCTTACCTTCTATCATCCCATATCCCATTGTTTTATTCTCGATGATGAATTCTCAATAATTGGCACGTTTAACGTGGTACAATTTCTAAGAGGAGTATGCTTAACTCATTTTTCTTCGATACTTCGGTAACATTTGGAATGAGTGCCAACCGCCATTCGTTTTCCATACGAGAACTGCTATTACGAATATTGCAAATTTGACTTTGGATTAGCAATCAACAAACTCAAAATCTTTCGGAAATTGATTTTTATCAAAATCTAATGGAGTTTTCAATATTCAAACTTTTAAGACCAAATTAAATGATGATCGGTTACATAATTTTAGAAATAAAAGGGATATCAGAGAAGGTTAAGAGCTCTCAAAGGGTTAACTCGTATGCCACTGTGGTGAAAATGTGGCTTATATCAGAATTGTTTTGTATCAAAATGCCGACCACGCAGACAAATATAATGGAACCAATAAAGCTTACCACGTTTCGGTCTCTTTTCAAATTTTCATCGGCTATGTTTTGGAAATGGAATTATACAAACAGTGCAGTGTTTGGGAAACTCTCGTTTAGGTAAAAATCACTTAAATTTAAAATAAAATTACTAAACAAAGAAACTTACAGACGATCAATGATTAGAGGCATTCTTCTTGTCACGCCGGTGAATAATGTCAGAAGCTATGGCCTCATAATTTCACAAATGCCATCTTATACATGGCTTTATATCAGTACATAACTTGAGCGAAAACAATCAATGAACTAATTAGTTAAGTCAAACATGTTTACGTTTGTTGTCGCCATTGGTGACGTTCTCTCACTGGATCAGACAGGAACGACGAAGCCTTCAGGTTTCTTAGGTCATCCTTAGCTCATCAGTCTTCCACTTGTCCCGGTTAGTTTAAACTTTTAGAATGAATTTTCAGGTATATCAGGAACTGTGCCTTAGTTGAGGCTTATAATGTCTATTCATAACGTATTACTCTTTTTTACACGATTTACAAATGATAACGTAAATTTACTGCAGTAAATACTAAAATTAATCGAACGTCGATAATCAGGCTTCTAATGTTTTAGCGTAAGGTGGTTTTTCGAAGGCGAAATTCTAAATATGGCTTCATGAGACTGAAAGCTAATTTTGTTTAGAAAAGAGCGATAGTTTCTTGAACAATCTTAATGGACGTAAACAAGTTATTGCGGGTCCTTTTGCGTTCGGAATGTTGTATCTGCTCAATTTCTTTATGTAATATTGTAGGAAAATTTTATTCTCGACATAAAAATAAAGAAAAACTTTGAAAAAAGCAAGAAATTACAAGAAAACTTTATTTTTGACATAAAAATAAAGAGAAATAGCGAAAAAAGCAATAAGTTGCAGGTAAACCTTGTTTTAGAGATGGGAACCGAAAATTCTTAGAAGATCCAAAAAATCCGCATCTACTTCCTGTGAAATTATTAATCCGGTCGCTAATTTGACCCTTTTAGGTGTGGGTAAACTGCCGAATACCGCCGCTGTCTGTTCAAGATATATTATACGCATTTTCAAGTGTCAGCTTGTTAGAAGAACATCAAACTCATAAGTACATAGTCTTCGCGATGAACAATCTGATACGGATTGTAGCATATAAGCGAATAAATCAGTAAGATTAATGATAGTCGTTTAATACAGTACTGCTTTTTCGCAAAGCGAAATTCACAAAACTTTACATTACAAAAATTACTTTACATTTAAAATTAAGTAATCTATAAAAATTGTATAATTAATTAATATAAAATAAATTGTTTAAAGAGACTGGGTGAACCTAATTTTCTCTTATGTGTATTAATTGTTTTCAGAACAAAAGGATAGAACTACTTCGAAAGTAGAAAAAAGCAACTCGAGCTTGAATCCAAATCCTTTGACGATGGATATAACACTTTTACTTGTTCCATTAATACAATTATAGTTGAAAAAGGGGGAACATATATTTCTGTTATAAATCACATTTAGAATTTTAAGTTTACGTTCAGAATTATTGTTTTGTTCTATACCGTTTCTATACTAAGGTACATTTCCACACCGATTCTGGAAACAGTACTTGGAATGGCGCGCTACATTGTTTCCTTTTATAGTGGAAACATTCACCAGAAATCCTATGAAAACCACTTTGTTCAGTACTTAGAGCCAGCCTCAGGTATTACACTGGTTGAGCATTCTAAGGCTTTGTAATCTTTATGATTCTGACAATCCTTATATACATAGCTAGGAGTCACACGTTATTTTCAATCCGGAACAAAGATGTGATCCTGGAAACATTATGCAACATTGACTGAAACACTTAAGGTACATGAGTTATATATTCCTAAATATGAAATGTTTTTGAGTAATTAAGGAATTGCTGACCACAGTTTCTTGAAATTCTAATATTACTTATGTATAACATCGGTTGAATCTAAATCCATGGCGTTATTTTGTTTTGGAGAATACAGTAACTTGAGGACTGTTGACGACAAGATCTCTACCATAATCATGTAAACTCCCCTCAGTTCTTGGAGCTTGAGGGAAAGTTTGTGCCAAAAACTCTTGACAAGGAGATTTCTGACGACCTCACAACTATTTGCCCTGTAAAATTTAATTTTTCAGTAATGCACTGACAATACAAATTTGTACTGTTTTTCCAACAAATTTTATTTACATTTGTACAAGCACCAATATTACTAAAATAAATAGTAATATATGTTTTAATACAAAGTCGTACCTGAAAAGTTTTCAGTTCCATACTTCCAGCCTTGGTAAAACTCTTGGTGCTGTCAGATAACCTCCTTCAGATTAACATCAACTACCATGAGGAGAAGCATGGGTATTCGGATCAGCTTTAGGACGACAAGCAGTGACAGTTTCTTCTGACAGCTGATTTCTTTCAAGGCAGCCATCGAAGTAGTACGAATAATCGAGCATGTAGTACTTGCACCACGAATAGCAGTAACTGACACTACTCATTATGATATATTTGACCAATTTTTAAAGCTAGACAAGCAAAAGTTTCGTCTCTTTTGTAATCTTACTTCCTATATAGTACACAGTATCTGCCAAGGATGCAATATGTGCATACATATATTATTATACTCTTACAAAAATTAGAATGGCAGACTTCAGAATGAGTTGTATGTAAACAGCAACAATATATATAGGTGCATGCAAGGCAACCGTCGGTTAAAAATGAATTCCCTGGATTCGATAAGTGCAGGGCAGTGCATAAAAACTCCAGATCAGGTAAGTTTCATTGATGCTTGCATCGAAGCATCGAAAGAGCGGGAGCATTGAACGTGTTAGAAATTTCGAGAAGGAAGCAGACGCGTAGGCGCGACGTAGTATAGTATTTTTACTTTACTCTGTTCAATGTGTCATCACTCTCTAACGTCCGCGAGAGTTCAAGAAGTTTCCAGGCGGCGCTGGGGCAGTGGATACGCAATTACGTATGCATACCCAAGGATTGCGCGCAAGCCTATATCTTTATTACAGGTTTCAACGTAAAACTCAGATGAAAATGTGAAAATTGAAGATTGGATCGACTCGGATATAGATTCTAAATTAATTAATTTCACGCTATTCGTATCTCTTGCGATTAGTATTATTTAAATAATAAAGATTCATCAGTTCAAAATTTCAAAAATGGGTAATTCGTAAACGTGTAGATAACATTTTGAATATAAATAAAATGATGACAGATGTACATAATTACACGTGCAATGAATAATTTATGAGATCACATTGTAGTTAAGAAATATTGAGAGAATATATGAATTTGTGCAATATTAATTGAATGTTGGTCGCTGCTGCATGAACGAAGCACAGGATGGAATTATTTTTGTTAGATAATTTTGATCTATGTAATTCTGCGATAGATCTACTAAATATAGCATATACGAATATGTAATATGCAGAAATTGCACTAGGAACAGAAATCGCAAAGCTCAGCGCGGAAAAACGAGTCAGGCAACAAGTCGCATCGAAAGAGCGAGAGCATTAATCGCACTAGAAGCTTCGAGTAGGTACGAGACGCGCAGGCGCCAGATATAAATAGGCGGCGGCGGGCTTCGAGCCTCAGTATTCAACGAGAAAGCAAGCGAAACACACTACGAGATAAGATATCTCAGAGCGACTTTTTAAGTAAGCGACATACATAAACGAAGTTTTAAAGCATTTGTAATAAAGTTTTGAGAGACAAAGTGCAAGAACAAGTAAGAAGAAAAATGCCAGCAATTGGAATCGACTTGGGAACGACGTACTCTTGCGTTGGAGTATGGCAGCAAGGAAAGGTGGAAATAATTGCAAACGATCAAGGAAACAGAACGACACCGAGCTACGTTGCGTTTACCGACACAGAGCGTTTGATCGGAGATGCGGCCAAGAACCAGGTGGCGATGAACCCGGCGAACACGGTGTTCGACGCCAAGAGGTTGATTGGCCGCCGCTTCGACGACCCGAAGATTCAGAGCGACATGAAGCACTGGCCATTCCGTGTGGTAAACGAGGGCAGCAAGCCAAAGATTCAGGTGGAGTTCCGCGGTGAGGTAAAGAGGTTCAGTCCGGAAGAGATCAGCTCGATGGTCCTGACGAAGATGAAGGAGACCGCCGAGGCGTATCTCGGCGGTAAAGTGCGGGACGCGGTGATCACTGTCCCGGCCTACTTCAACGACTCCCAGCGCCAGGCCACCAAGGACGCGGGAGCCATCGCAGGACTCAATGTCCTCAGGATCATCAATGAACCTACGGCAGCGGCACTCGCCTACGGTCTCGACAAGAATCTCAAAGGGGAACGAAACGTTCTGATCTTCGATCTCGGCGGAGGAACCTTCGACGTGTCCATACTCAGCATCGACGAGGGCTCTCTCTTCGAGGTGAAGGCAACGGCCGGAGATACTCACCTGGGTGGAGAGGACTTTGACTCGAGACTCGTGGACCATCTGTGCAAGGAGTTCGAGAGAAAGTTCAAAAAGAACATCAAGAGCAACCCCAGAGCGCTCCGTCGATTGCGAACAGCAGCGGAACGTGCCAAACGTACCCTGTCTTCGAGCACCGAGGCCACCATCGAGATCGATGCTCTCTTCGAGGGAATCGACTTCTACACAAAGATCTCGAGAGCTCGTTTCGAGGAACTTTGCGCCGACCTCTTCAGGGCAACTCTCGAACCCGTGGAGAAGGCTCTGGCCGACGCGAAGATGGACAAGGGCTCGATTCACGACGTTGTCCTCGTGGGAGGTTCGACGCGTATCCCGAAGATCCAGTCGATGCTGCAAAACTTTTTCTGCGGCAAGCAGTTGAACCTCTCTATCAATCCGGATGAAGCCGTGGCCTACGGAGCAGCGGTGCAGGCCGCCATTCTGACGGGCGAAGGCGATAAGAATTCTACTCTCCAGGACGTTCTCCTCGTAGACGTTGCACCTCTCTCCCTGGGAATTGAAACGGCAGGAGGAGTAATGACCAACATCATCGAGCGCAACGCTCGAATTCCCTGCAAGCAGACGCAGACCTTCACCACCTACGCCGACAACCAGCCCGGCGTGAGCATTCAAGTCTACGAGGGCGAGCGTGCCATGACCAAGGACAACAACCTTCTGGGTCGCTTCGAGCTCAGTGGAATCGCACCGGCTCCTCGTGGCGTTCCCAAAATCGAGGTGACCTTCGACATGGATGCCAACGGCATTCTTCACGTCACTGCCAAGGACACGGCCAGTGGTCGCAGCAACGATGTCAGAATAACCAATGATAAGGGACGCCTCTCCCGGGAGGAAATCGACAGGATGCTGTCCGAGGCTGAGCGTTACCGTGATCAGGATCGTGAGCAGCGCGAGAGGGTCGAAGCCAGGAATCAGATCGAGAGCTACGTCTTCTCCGTGAAACAGGCAGTTCAGGAGTGCGGCTCCAAACTGGAGCAATCTGACAAGGACAAGGTCATTTCCTTGTGCGAGGATACCATCAGGTGGCTCGACAACAACACCTTGGCTGAAAAGGACGAGTACAAACACAAGCTCGAAGAACTCCAAAGGCAGTGTTCGCCCATCATGACCAAGATTCACTCCGGTGGCTCCGGTGCTGCTCAGGATTGCGGTGGACAGTATCGACAGAACAACAACCAGTATTCCGGGCCCACTGTGGAAGAAGTTGATTAAACTTTAAATGTACCTGTAGGACGGAAAGTTTTTTGTTAGGAAGAAATTAAGACTGATATTTATTTTGCATGACACACGTGGGTTGTGTTATATTTTAGCCATTTGTCGTACGTCTTACATGCAATGACTCTGAATTATTATTCTTTTGACACTGTCAGATTCATTCGTTGTAAGTAGATAAATTCATTGTATATATCATTACTATAGTTAAAATAAATTTCTTTTATACAAACAAAATTTGGTACATTTATTCTTAAATAATTTGCCTTTCGTTGCCTTTCGTTAAAAATTATAGATTAACATCTTTATTATTACATACATACCATACGTAGTCGTTTGAAGATTTTGAAGAGTTCTTTGTTCGTTGATTTATCATAGTAATTTATTGTAGTTTGAAGTTCGGTTGAATACAACAGTTTGGGCATGAAGTCAGTACACGTTTTTAAGGAACTGACTTCTTTAAAGATGATTTACATTTAAAAATAGTCCATTTCGTATGAAACATATATTATAGTCCGCCTATTATAATTTTAATTCTACATGTATCATTGAGTAAATATATAAATATCACTACACATTTAGTTTGATGTATTTTCACATCATATTTGAAAGACTAAAATTGAAATAAAATAATTCTGCTTCTCATTTTTTGTTGTAAATATATTTAATGGAAAATAAAACAGAGTCACATACAGGGACTGCCACTAAAAATTGTAATTGTAAGAGCTCAATAACAGAATTTTTCGTAGATAGTAAAATTTATTTTATTGTAAATTAAAGTGCTTCAGTACTAATGGATTCAAGATGCATTTCAAATATTCTGTCCTGACCTTCCATCGTTTCGTATCTTTTAACTTATTCTCCGTGATATACACCTAACTATCATTGGCATGTTGAATATATGTAATGCAATTTCTGGGAGAACATTGTAAATATCATTATATTAGTCAAAATTATGTTTTTTTTTAAATCAGAATTTTTGCTTATCTTTAAAGATTTTCCTGAATTATTGTCCTATGATTTGCATTGAAACAACTAATTGGTACATATGATTGCGTTTGATCGTTTATTATTGTAATCAGAAGTTATACTTATCATTGTAACTATTATTTCGTTATTTTGCGTATAACGCTTGTTTCTTAAATAGAACAAGGTTGTCCTCAGGAAATTCTATGGATTATCTTAGACGGATATTCTGGAGGTCCCATGGATATCCGAAAAAGGTCTTAATCCTTCTTTTGGATATCCTGTTCATGATTTCCCGGACATCCTGGGCATAGTAACCCATTAGACATATTGTAGGCATTTTATGGTATTCCTATGCAACACTTCGATGTTAGAAATGCGTGATAGAAACATCGTAAATCGCTATTATTGATGCGCACTAGACATCTATAAATCCGCAAAATCGTCTTATAGACGTCATTCCGAAATATGTTTTTCCCACCTACAGATGTTCTTTTGTCCGTCTTTCACACATCCTCGCTGTCATTCAAAGGAAGTATGTTATGTAGGAACGTATCCTGTACAAACTCCAAGAGTAGTTGAGTTAAAAGTTGTGGCTGTCATATTTTCGGAAAAGTTGTACTCGATATTTGGGGGTGTGTATGTAAACATTTCACTCACGGTTTCTACGGCGTGTGCTGTCATTAATTAAGAATTGTGCAATTTGGGAAACGAAGGGATAGGAGAAAGTACGATTCCTCAGTAAATTATCATTTACTGGAGCCGATGCCATTGGCTGAAATAGAATAATCGCAAATGTAATCAATTACGGAATATACCCTTCCTTATTTATATTTAAAATTTTATATACCGCTATTTATATATTTTATATAAATATAATTCAAAAATATATATAAATAAACTTATATGTATAAATTCCATAGGACATCCAGTCGATCCTCTAGATAGCCTAAGGATGTTCTTAATAAGCTTTGCCAAGGCTCATAAATATATGTATATCAGAAACGTCTCGATTTATACTGATTTGATCTTATACTAATAAATAAGAAGTACCTTATTAAATATTCACACCACTATTAAAGAGTTCTGAAACAAAATTACATTTTGTTTTTCAATAAAGTTTTATTATTAAGTTAGTACAACTTTTTTCACATCTTCTTCGCTCTTTTTGCTTTTTGTTAGTTACCGTTGCGTGGTAAGCACCACGAATCATATTACTTGCAAAATGATGATTGTGATACTGACAATCCTTCGTCGTTATAAAAAATAGTAGATGAAAATCAGAAAAAAATTAAGCGGTTTAATATCGTAAATATAACAAAGTACAAAATACTACGTACTTTCACGAAATGTAATTCCAACCAATTCGAAAACATTTTAGTGAAAACCTAAAGGGAGACTCGTGAAATTTTATAATAGAAAATACCTCATCCTATTAGGATACTTTCTTCTTATTTTATAATTGATCTTCTATGCAGTTTGAGAATGTTTATAATATTAGTAGAGTGCAAGAATTACGGAGTCGATAAGAAAAAAATATAGGTAATTAAATTATTTTTATTTAAACTAGCTGTACCATCGACTAGTCATTTGATCGTTTTAGAACCAAATATACCATTTATAAAAAATTGTCGCTGTGGTAGTGTTAATGATATAGAGCGACGTGCACACAAAACGCTTATAAAGATATTGTATCACTTTCATAAATAAGAAAACAGTTAACAATTAAACCAACATAGATGTATTATATACATATGTACTTTGTTGTGCAATATTAGTTTCATTCTGAAGGGATAGATTTCCCATGATGATACGCATGTTAATTCCTGTATATAGGTTTAATTTATAACGGTGAGTAAATGGGACAGTTGAAAAATATTTATCGAGATAAAAGTTATTTAACTCATGAAAAATATTGTAGATTTTTTATAATAAAAGTTATTTCAGTTTTGTTGTACTTTATATATAGAATGAAAATTAGTTTTTCTTTAGGAACCAATTTAAAAAGTTTCATGCAAACATTATTCTAAATACATTTCTTCTATTTCTATTAACGTTTCAAATAAATTTGTGTTGTTTTGAACCCTAGCTGTCCACTTCTTCGGGCGTTTGACGAAGCTTCACATGGGGGTATTTGAAAACCCCATGCTACTTTTGCTCACACTCTGCTTCTAATCATTTGTTTTTGATTGGTTACCATATACAGGGTGGACCACGGAGCGTGATCAGTAGAGATTACTTTGTTATTAGCAGTCCGATCGAAAATGTTTTTATCAGCTTTTGCGCAACCAATGTTGTTGACAAGTCAAAATTTACGAATCTTAATTGTAGCGATGTTCAAAATGGTGTCCACGAGCTGCAATGCACTCGCGTAGACGTTGAACAAAAGATTGTTTTGTATTCTTTATGGCCTCTCCTCTACACTGATGTCGACTGAAGACGACAGAATGGATGCGTATAACGGCGTAGCTGTGATTCTCCTTGTGATAAGGAATATTTAGTTTTTTAATTTTCTTTCGAACCAGATGAAAAAAATGTCATGTCCTTACATGTGCCGGATTCGTCTTGAAATCCTCTAACAGACAGGCGTAAAAAAATTATATGTTTAGTTGCAAAAAATTTAAGGTAACCTTGAAAAAACCTTAAAAAAAGAGTTGACCAGTAATTTTTCACTATCACGTTAAAGCTCTCTTGAAACCATGCAAAAGCTGATAAAAACATTTTCGATCGGACTGCTAATAACAAAGTAATCTCTACTGATCACGCTGCGTGGTCCACCCTGTATAATAAATCTAAACACCAAAGTCTAAGGAACATGTTTATCATGAGAGAAATTAGATTTTTATTATCGCTTCTGATTAATACATTGTAGAAACAACTAGGCGAGACATGGCACATGGTCAATTTGAATCTTTTCAATATACACTAAGATTTTTAGTACATAACGTGGATCGGCTAAGGTGGATCATATACTATATTCAGCTCCGCATATAGCCTCATATATGGCTTTCTTTTGAAAAATATATCTGTTTTACTTTTCGTCGAGTCGCTTTCAATTTGCACGTGACCAAGATTTTATTTAAGTTCTTCACAGTTCATCTACAGTTATCGCATACAGTTGTCTCTTGGGCTATGACTTTACTTTTATATTATATGTTACAGCAATAACTCATTTCTTATTCCACAGAATGTATCCAATGACAGGAACTTATACATATGCTTATAATTAAAATATTCTCCTTAAGTTACATATGTTTTTACAAGTATTAAGTGCTAGCATATAGGAAAATACTGTAATTAATGAAATATGTGAATATTTATCAGTAATTTGAAAACCATTAAATAACTTATTCTATTGTTTTTTATACAATATTATATTTCTATGACTGTTATTATTGAAATTGGTTCCATTATGATATTATTGAAATCTTAAAAGATACAGGATTATTACCATTAACAATAAAAACATTTAATATTTAAACAAAAAATTACGGAATTTCTTAAGGTATGCTGATGGATTGGCACGAATAATAATCAATAATATTTAGTACTGTCAAGGAATACCAAAATTCATTACTGTATATTTTACAAGATATGGAAATATTACATGAAAAAATAAACAGTATCTCTTCATTATATAGTATTAATCTATTAAGTTGAATTCAATATAAAAATTCAATGTTTCAGAGATTATAATTTTTAAAAAAATTACACATGTAAGTAATATATACATATATTAAATTAACAAATTCGTGGTAATGTTGCAAATCATTGTAATAGCCAAATTGTCTACTGCAACTTCACAAGATACAAATCTTTGATACTGATAAAATTATTAGAATTAAGCATTTGCCTCATTTAGATCTCCACGTAAGTGTAAAAAAGAATTAACAATTAAATAAATTATATCTGAGGTTACTTTCACCGACTTACTGGGCTAGTTGTATGTATCGGAAAACTCAGGGAAACTAGACTCGAATCACATCAGATTCTCGAGTTTTTCAACATGTAAGATCAGAGCGACAATGCTGTTATGGCTTCATAATTGTTTGACTTTCGTTGAGATGAAGAAAATATCTATTGTTCAAAATTGAAAATATGACGAAAATAATATATTCCCCATTACCAATTTTTTTATCGTTAATAAATAAAAAATGGATACTTTTCTCAAGTTAAAAGTACATAACTAGGACGCGGTTTTATCCCTGTAGTTTGGATTTCAATGAATTGCCAGGATGAGCAATTCTAGGTTGATTAATAAATGAAATTAAAAAGTACTAATCATTGATCAGGAGTGAGGTAAGGGAGCAGTATTACGAAGCTCTATTCTCTCATTCTACATAATCTTACTGGTTTCCTCGACTCTTAAATAATGAACAGTAGCGCATTTTAGTAACACTATATAACACTGAGATTTCAAGGACTTCAATAATTACTGCATTGAATTTTTCAATTAATTAAAACTTGTGTGTTATAAATAACATCCTTTGTTTATTTTGAACTAGCTACATACCACGATAATATCCTTATCGAGTAATAGATTACTTTATTTGCCTCATCCTTTCGAATTACCAACAAATTATAAAGTATAAAATATGGAGGAATTTTATATCTTGATGTGTAACATGATGGTTTTTTTGTATAAGTGTACATTAGTAAAATGGTTGTGATTATTGTCCCAAAACATGTCCTTGTCCCCAATTGTGACCACCAAAGACATTTCTCCCAGGTTGGGTTTGTGGCACTCTCTGTGTTGGCGCTGTACCAAAACCTCTGATACCGCCTCTCTGTGGTGGAAAGTATGACTCAAGAAATACTGGTGTGCTCAGTAAGTCTCTTCCTCCAAACTCCTGAGGAAACTTGAATTTCAAGAAGAAGTAAAGGTGACCAACTAAAATCCCAACCAGCTCTAGCATTCCACCTCCAGCAATAATCATATTGAATGCAAATAATACCCAAGGCAAATACATTGCCTTAAACTGTGTACCTATAAAAAGAAGAGAAATAATATTAAATAATTTTGCATAAGTCAGATAGTATAAAATAGTTATGAATCTTATTGAAAAATTCTATGTATCTTTCCTTTAGGAACACATAATTTTAATTTATATGTTTGTCAATGTGACTAGTTGTGAAAGGCAGAACATATATTATGCATTCTGTATTATTAAAAAATATATAGCAACAAATATAGGTATCATAGACATAATATACAATTAGATACAAAGTTTCACTAAAAATGAAAGTCCAAATGATAGATTAACTGTATTTGCAGAATCATTAAAAGTTTCTAAATATGACAGCTTGACAAATTTTCGTTTATTTATCTTCATTCAATTTAATTATGAAGGCAAATTTATAAGAAATAAAAACAATAGAGATATCTAATTTTTGATGCAAGCAAATAATTTATACAAGTATATTGCTCTAAATGACCTAAATGGCTTAATCTTTTATTTATCAAATATTTCTTATAAAAATACTGTAGAAATGATTATAATATTTGCACACACATGTGTTTGTTTTACTTAAATATGAACTATGATATGAAATCAAGTAATTTATCATCATGATTATCAGCTCCTGTATTGGTACTAAAACCATGAACAAAAAATTTAGTTTTGTATTTTTGTTATTATTAAATTGAGCATAAAACTTGGACTATGTATGTGGAAACTGTGACGTCATAGAATTTAAAATATATTCTTCAGCATTAAAATATTAATTATAATTTATACAGTTCTCTTTGCAACAGCACATGATAAAAATGTATTCTTTAAATTACATCTCTTATAGATATACTTTCACTTATGGATATATATAAAAAAACTCCAGGTAAATACTATGAGTCTTACTTTCTAATATCACTTTTTTAAATCATTGTTTGATTCTTATATGAATTTTCTTGATAATCTAATATTTTTACAACCTAACAAAAAATAATGTTTCAGAAGATGTAATTATAAAAGGCTAAATACACTTAATAAAGTTAAATATTTTTAATAAAATCTATAAAATAAAAACTTATTTGAAAGTATATAGGTAACAATTAAACAAATTAGATTTTTTTTATCTACCTATGATATAAATATATATAACAATGCATATAACATACCAAACCAAAAGTTGACGATGGTATCCTTATTCAATTGACACCATACATAAAGAACACTAAGAATCATTGGATCCATTAATAGTTCAAAGTTTCCAAGAAGACCAGCAACAACACAGCATATCCAATTGAATAGTAACATGAAGAAGTAATCAGCAGGTCTTCCATCAAATTCTCCACGTTCAAGTCTCAGTGAATAATTGTAAAGGAAATAACAATTAATCAAAAAGTGAAATCCTGTTGCTGGATTCAATGGATAATAGAAGACGCTGGTTGCTGCTCTCCAAATCTCAAAATTATGAACAAACCGGTCATATTGTAATCTTAATAAAAGTGGACTTAGAATACCGAATCTTCCTAATAATGTGAAGACTCCAGTTAAGAGTAACCAATATCTTGTAAATATTGGCAGAGAATTAAACCAGTTCCTCACGTCAGACATTATGTCTTTTCCACTGAACTACTCTTATAAACTGACGTGTACGTTTTGAATGATTTGCAATTATAGGTTAGTGCATTAATGTACTATGAACAAGAATAGACACTACATTTTGAAGTTTAGCGTGGAGCATCCTCAATGTATGTGTAGTTAAGTACTCGACATAGTTAACCAATAGAAGCGTGTATTCATTGTCGGACAATACAGTTTCGAATTTCTATTGGTCATTGTATAATACACAGTTTAATTGTATGTTTGCCAGCATGATTAAAACTAGCGGAATATCATGTCAATTATGATAGACAACTTCAAGATACAGAAATTTAATTATAATAACAAGAAAGGATAAAATTATATTTTTTTTTCAAGATTTTAAGATGTCGGATATAAGCAAACCACAGAAAGTGACTGATACAACGGACATACAAATTCAACAAATACTGCCGTCTCGAATACATTATAAAAAATGTGTATATCCTCTGTGTGGTATTACATCGCGGGATAAAATATCGGGTGTCACTTTTCATGCATTTCCAATTCGCCACAGTGAGCTTTGTGTAAAATGGTTATTAAATTGTAATTTGGATGAATGGGTTGAAATGTCAAATGAAATTCTACGCAAGAAACGCATTTGTAGTAAACATTTCCCACCAAATAGCTTCTCAGCCTGTGGCAGGTTACGAAATAATGCAATTCCTTTATTTTTTGATCCAGACAATCCGCATTATAATATTTCTAATGAATCTAACAAACCAGAGCAGGATACCAATGCTCTGTTAAAACAATTAGCAAGGGTCACTGCTGATCTAGAACGAGTGAAGAAAAAATCAGATGCTCAACGTAAACGACTAAATGCTAAGCGTAAAGCCATATCTCGCCTAAGGCAAAAGATTGAAACAGGTGAAATACCTGATTTAAGTTTAAGAGGAGCAATTGCAAGGAAAGTGAAAGGATGTGCACGAACTTTCATCAACATGCAAATATTTCATAAACCATCACAGCCTTACACGTCAGCACAACAGAAGTTATGCATGGAGATGCAATGTATTTCTCCCATTTTATATAGAAAAATGTATGATGAATTTGGCTTTAAATTACCTTGTCCAGTTACTGTAAACCGGTGGTTTGACAAAAAATACTGCATCGTCAAAACCAAATCAACGTTAGGTATATCTTGCACTAAGCCTTTGATTTTGGAAGAGGAGGATCATGAGCAAAGAGTGTTAGGAGAAGGTGAAACGGAGCAAGAAGAGCTGGAACAGGATGAACTCATGCAAAAAGAATTGGATCAAGAAGAAATGGAAGAAGAAGTGTTGGAACAAGAAGAGTTGGTGTTGGAGGAATTAGTTGAAGAAACATGAAAACATCATTTACCTGTTAGGCCATTATTTTTTAAAGATTTACTACAGTATGAAAATATGTATGCATACAGTCTCATTCAGAGCTAAAACTGGCTTACGTTATCTAGGTTTACTGACTGTGCCTCATTTTTGTGAATTTAAACCTTGTTATAGTAATAATCTTAATCTAATTAATAAAAGAGGGTAAGGTAAGGCATAACCAATGGGCTTCAATTTATAGATACAAATAAAAATAGTGGCAACATTAGAGTACACTTCACTGATGACATTTTTTCTTTCTCTTTTTTTTAAGACTAATAGCTTTAAAGCTATAGATTTAAAAAAAATTAAAAGTAACATATGTATCATGCAGATCTATTAAGGGTATAACTTTTAAAGGGTATAACTTTTAAATTCCATCCATAATATTTCTAAAAGTCTGTTTTCTGAGATTTCTTATTAAGAAACTGATAGAAAAATTATTTTATTCAATTCATATATGTTTAAAACCTTAAATTATTATTTTCCCCATTGCCCACCTCGTTTTAGAACTTCTCTCTATCATAATGTATGTATAGTATAAGTGAAATACATATGTATACTTCATTTATACAGAGTAAAAACGCACCAGCAGTAGTTTGCAAGCGGCCGACACGGCAGCGTGGCCTCTTCAAAAAATGATATGTGACTGTGACCGATTCCCATAAGCGCAAACTGACAATTCACATATCAATAAGTTAGGTTTTTGAAATATTTCAATTAATAATTGAAATATTTAATTAACAAAATAAGAAATAAGAAAAACAAGAAATAAATAATTGCAATCTGTTGTGAAATTAAATCTTAACTGATACTACATTGTGTCATTACAATATTAATTAATTATTTAAGTAACCTAATTATTGAAATATTTCAAAAACCTAACTTATTGATATGCGAATTGTCAGTTTGTGCTTATGGGAATCGGTCACAGTCACATGCTATTTTTTGAAGAGGCCACACTGCCGTGTCGGCCAGTTGCGGCCAACTTCTATTGGTGCGTTTTTACTAACTAACTCTGTACATATGTTACGGGAAGATTGGCAAAAAGATAAAGAAGCGAACAAATCCAAATTAGTATTTTCACTTATAATATTCATCTATGAAAAATATATACGTGATAAACTCAAATTAAGTACGTTTATAAATAATCTTATTCATTTTCCTACGGTCGTAGAAAGTACATACATTCTGTTATATTCGACCAGAAATGTATCTATGTCGATTTATCGAGTTTTGCTATATTTTAGAGGTCTTTCTACAAAAATGCCGAATGAAAAGTTTATCTCTAATTGTATAGGTTATTTCGCACTATACAGGGTGTCCCAAAATTACCTGACCAACGAGGTATGGCGGTGTTCGGGAGGCACCACTGATCACGAAAATGACCTTCCCTTTGTCCGGAAGTTCATAGTTTTTATATGGGAGTAGGTCAAACTTGACCAATCAGAACGAGGCGTCAAGAAAAACGTAGGCACCTACGAACTCTGAGTTTTCTTCCCTCGCTTTTGTTTCTCGGTAGCTTGTTTCTTGTTTCCAATAGGCATGTCTTCGGCTGACGTCATCCTGCCCAAAGCCACCGAGAAACAAAAGCAAGGAAAGAAAACTCAGAGTTCGCAGGTGCCTACGTTTCTCTTGACGCCTTCCTCTGATTGGTCAACTTTGACCTGCTCCCATTTAAAAACTATGACCTTCCGGACAAAAGGAAGGTCATTTTCGTGATCAGTGGTGCCTCCCGAACACCACCATACCCCGTTGGTCAGGCAATTTTGGGACACCCTGTATAGATACATTTCAAATGAAAAAATTTTGAAGCAATAATTCAAACATCTTACCTTCTTTCATTAAGTTAAATACAGTATTGTGTCGTATGAGAGTTTATTTGCATTTATTAATATTTTTTTTTTAAATAGACATGGGAAACAAGGAAGTTTATATTTTAAACAGAGAGAAAATAAATGTTACAATAAACAATATAGACCTCAGATCTTATCTGTTATTAAAGTCCATGATGAATCTGTGTACGATTTGATTTTGTGAGTTTAATAAGCTGTCGATGTATGCATTTAAAAGATTCTACTATCCTAGCAAACACAGTTATGTTACGTGTACGTAATATTCATTGTAACGTGATTTTTAGGAAATACACGTTCCAAATTCCTGATCCGTCCATCCTCTGTTGCTTGTTCGGTCGACGCCGCTGCACGTCGTTGCATTCAATATTAAGCAGGGTGGACGCCCGAAATTTTATATCGTCCTGTCTGTTGTACTACAGTTTTTGGGTTTTATTTCTGGATTTTCTTTCTTTTTTTTGCATTTTCTCACGTACTTTACTAGCTGCTCATATGGCTGTCGAGAAGCGGATAATTTTTGAGCATTTTTGGAGAAATTCTGAGGACAGCGAAAATTGCACTGGGAGTGCTTGACTTTAAGGGTTGGTTTCAACTCTTAAAACCGTTTTTCCGCAGATAAAAAAATACGTATGGCTCAGTTTTTATGCTCTGCAACATATTTGAGTTTCATCAAAATCAGAGGGGAACACCTAAAATACTTCCTTGTTACTCACAAAGCATATCGATTAAAGGTAATTTAATTTACGCATATAAAAGGCCAAACGACATTTTTGGCAATGTGTGCGAGAAATAATTTCGGAGAAGGTACAGGACAAAGTCCCGGAAAAGATTTGGGATAAAGTAAGGAAAAGTCTCGGAGAAATTAAGGGCGAGAAACATCACACTCCCAGGACATGACCGAGACACATCTGTACTTCAAAGACCTTGACAAAGAGCTTTCTAAAGATCCAGGAAAATGTACATACAAGGTAACGTGTAACTGTGTATGTACTCCAAAAGTCAGAAACACATGGTACTCTTTTTGGTATTCACCTGATAGTTGATATGTAATTTTTCTGATTTGCGATATTGCTTACTTTTATGGGTAATAATTGTTGGAATAATTGGCCCTCAATGGGTTATCAATTCACGATCACCACGCCAGCATGCTAATATTCAAAGCGTTGTATGATTTTTAATATTATATTTACCGGTATTGATTATTAAAGTCAACATAAATTGTAAAAAACTTAATTATAGTTTTTATAACTTTAAGCACAAAATATGAAATCTGTCAAATTGACAGGTTGCGTAAATATGTATAGTGTTAATTGAATCGGCCAGGTGATGTCACCGCGGCTTAGTATTCGTTTCCTATGATAACATTTGAAAATCTGTTATCGAGATAAATATATCTTCAATACTCATTATTCAGGCATGGATGACGTGAGACGGCTGCGCATGTTTCAAGTGCTCGTGCAATGCGAGAACTATTATTCTAAGGCAGTTCGTTTATTTTGGCAAGCTCACAGTGACTTTCCGCCCTCCAGGCAGTCATTTCAATGGTAAATTTTTGTAATATTATGATTAAGTGAGTAGATTATGAATGCCGTATTATTTTTATTAGGCTTGCTGAGACTTATGCCAACCATGGCACATTGAAGGCACCGAGATTACCGAGCGGTAAGCGGTCCTCGACGGGGAGAGGTTTTGGCTAATATGAGGGAGAATCCCATGCAGAGTATGAGGGGTCTCACAAGACATTCAGGTATATGATAATAATTTATACTGGATGATAAGCTTTTTCAACATTTTCACCAAAAATTCGTCTTTTCGGCTTTTATCTTTAGTCTCTTCGCCCTATTTTATATGCCCTACCGTTGAATTTACGTGAAACTCGTCCTATTTAGGAACGAGTCGTGAAACTGTACGAAAAATCGTGAAACAGGACACAAAATAAATATAAAATGACACCGAAATTGTAAAGAACATAAAAAGTAAACTTTTAACAGTGGTTTTCAAACCATCGGTTAAGTTAGACGGTCTAGCTCATGATTGACTGAATTGAAAACTAAGCGGACATTTAAATATCTATAGCATATTCAGCATATATAAATTGTATTCTTTTTTCTTCTCATATTAGACAAATTTGGATATATAGAGGGTATTTAATAGTGAACAATATTAAACAAAACTAATAATCTTTCAACGTCATATTGTTAGTATGGAATTTGAAGGTGTGTGACAAATGCGCTGCTAATCAACCTCCGTAAATCTAAAAAAAACGCCTAAATTTTGTGAGTTTCGCTCGAGGAGCTCGGGGGACTACTAACCTACCACGCGCGCCAAGCAATTGTCCCCCGAGCGCCTCGAGCGGCACTCGCAAAATTTAGGCGTTTTTTCAAACGGATAATTTAATCCCTTAGCGTACTCGTAATTGGATGTTTGAAAGCGCGTTTCGATCGTTGAAATCTCAGCTACAATGTGGATAAAAATGAAACTTCCATTTCATCGTTTTTCTAACGAAAAATGGCGGGGAAGCTGCGGGTGCGCTTGCGAAATCTCGAGATCTCCGTCACGGGATCATCTCCGAGAACAATAATTTTGTGAGAATCTGCAGTATCATTAAAGATGATATCATGCAGAAACTGGACCAGATTGGCCGGCGCGTTCGGAAGTTATGGCAATTTAAGTGTTTTCACTTCATGAGGATGTAACTCCCCCTAGAGTGATCCTACAGGGGTTCATATGGGTTTTTTTTTTAATGCCGAAGGATGCTCTCTCTCGTGCCCTGATTAGAAATATGAATTTCCTTCCGGAATAGAGTGATCCTACAGGGGTTCAATGAGGGGGTTTTTTTAATGCCGGAGGATGCTCTCTCTCATTCCCTGATTAGAAATATAAATTTCCTTCCGGAACTACTAGATCTCGAATTTTTCAAAAAGTTCCAAAATGCACTTTTTCACTCCAACGCCTGTTATTCGGCCATTTTGTATCCGATCGGGGTAAAACCTTTACCATTCGAACGGGAAAGAAATTTCCTACAAAATTTGTTTTTGGTTTTTCGAAATCTGTCATATTTTCACAGAAATGTAAACAAATTTAAGTGTTGCACTTTAATTGGACGTTACTGTATAGTAATACTACACGTGAGAATCTGGAGCTGTTCTTCATTTCATTTTTTGTTTTAATGTGCCACGGTCGCAGCGTGGTCTGATAGTGTTGCACTTGAAATTCTGTTTCCTTCATCGATGTTTTATATAAAATAGTGTATGGTGCACTTTTGAGAAACCTCATCCAACATACTTGCAACCAATTTACCTGTTCTCCATTAGTGTTTTTTCTTATCTGTTTTTTTTATCGCAATATGACACGTAATATAAAACAAATGTAAAATAACAGGCTACTGATCGGCAAACATCTGCTAAGCCACCTATCTCTGTTAATTGGACTTACACCTTACACCTTACATGATTATGCAATTTCATTTACCGACCAATTTTAAAATGTACAAAACAGGGAAATTTTTTAAGAAATTAAGCACGGACTAGTTATACATAACAAGTTTACATTAAATTAAGCAGGAATTACGTGATATCTCATTTTTATCAAAAATGGACTTACACTACTTTCATAATAAACGGTCCAAATATCAATTGTACGTCTGTAAGACATTTGAGGACAGCCAATGAATGTGTCAAAAATCCTAGTAAAACGTCTATAAGGCGTCTTCCATATATATTTGTTCTATGTGCGAGAAGTATTAAGAGGGAATCGAACGGGAAGGCTGGAAATGAGGAAACTTCGCACTAAAAAATCTCGTAATTGGTTATACGAGAGCAATTTCTAGTGATATGGCGTAAAGTTAATAGATATAAAACTGCCTGCTTGCCACTTTTTTAATTTTCATCAATAGTTCTGTGCAACAGTGCGATAAGTGTCGGATACGTAATGGCAAAGGAATTGTCGGATCGACAAGATGCGCAGACCGTTACTTTCGCGATTAAATTATATTTTACATATTTTCCAATAAATAATTAAAAAGTTCGGCTCCACAGGTAAAAACAATTTATCGGAAGACTTCAATTTTGTGTAATAAATTAATCGACAGTGCTTTTCCTGAACAGATTTTTGGGTGCGAAGTTTTCTCGCTTACAGTCTCGTCTGTGAACTGATCCACACAAATAGCCTGTTACCTTCTTCGTTAATTGATAAAGTTGACTAGAATGTGAAGGTTTTAAACTACAACCTGATGCTTCTCCAGACAGTGGTAAATAAGTGTACGTATATCGTGAGATATTGATAAATAAGTGTACACATATTGTGAGACTCCGCTAGATACCTTAAAAATAAAAAACTAGATACCCGTAAAATAAAAAACATTCAAAGCTTATCGGGAAAGATTGTTTAACTGTTTATAAAATTCAGCAGCAAATTGCAGCATTGACTTCGGGAATTCCCAGGCTTCTGAGAAGTCGTTAATAAGAGTTGGAGATTCTGATAAAATGTAAAGTGTGTTAGCATACGCATTTCTAAAGTACAGTTGTGTGGCGTTTACGAATGAATGCGACACTGTTAACAAAAAGAGAAAGAAGATAGCAAATGTACTCGGTGATTCCCAATTATGTATATATATTTGAGTTACTTGTAAATCACAACTTCTTGCAATTAGTGGAATGTAATGAACGAAATCGTATTGAGTATAAAAGCTACGCTCAACGCTGTTCCGAAACATTAAATTCTACAGCGAACGTACAAGAACATCCGGGTGACCAGGTAATGATAAAATTAATAATAAGTGATCTCATGTGACTAGATTCAAAAAATGTTAGATGATATTGAAACATTGAAATAAAAAGATTTCCTTTGAAATATAATTGTGTAGGAACTGTGTAGTCGCGTTTTACGCGTTTTGCATTTAAAAAAATCATGCAAATGCATTATTTCAAAATCGAAAGTAATTGGATTTCAGGGAACATTAATACTTTATTTATTGCTGGAAAACGATTTTTCTCTATTTTCAACACAATTAATTTATCAGTTCGTCTAGAAAAGTTCTAAAGATCAATTTCCATATGTAACTGACACATTAGTATTTTTTCCAAATAGTCTCCATTTGCGTTTTGACAATGATGTATGTGCAAAATAATTTCTCTTTCGTTGAAGGCCAGTGCATACGTTTGGCAACGTAATTAAATAAGCTCGCAGTAAATTTATTTAGCGTCTATATTATATAGATTACAAAGTGAGCACCAACAAGGAATAATAATTTATTGCCTTTTTACAGATTATTCAAGATGAAAAGTATCATCTCTATCCTGTTGCTTCTCATAGCTTTGACTGCTTTTACAAGTGCATATGTTCCGCCGGTATCAAATCCGCGCCCAGGGGTCGGAAAATTTCCATCATTTCCTGGTCAGGGACCATTTAACCCTAGAATACCTTCCGGACCTTGGGGTCGCCCTGTAAGTATATTTTATTGTGTAATGAATCATTTCTATGTAATAATTTTCTGACACAGATTGTAACATTAAGTTCCCAATTCCTATGAACAGATTATAGGACCTCATGCCTTTCATTTTTTGCGCCAAAACTTTAATAATTTTCTTTTGGCATCATTCATTTATTAATTAATAATAAATTAAAGCGGTAAAACAAATTAATTCTTTGAGCTATATACATAAACAACAATAATTCGCCGTTCAAAATAATATTTTGGCATTGGTCATCAATATATTGCATTAATAAATATATTGCATTCAAATCCCCACCCGAGTACTAGTTTTATAAAAGCTGACGCGACTGTTAAATACAATAGTTATATGTGTATATTATTATTCCTAGGACACGTTTTACAAATACGTTTTACCATAATGTTATGATTATTTGCAGCGTCATCGCCGTACTCCAGAAGTCGAAGATATCCTTTCTGATACGGCGGTGGAATAACTTCAAAAGACCATATATTACTGTTAATTCATCTAAGAAAGATTCTATGATAAAAACTATGGCCAATTATAATACAAGTGCAGGTAAAGCAGGATTTGATCCTACACTTGGCCGATAAAATTTACTTATTTCTAAGTGGACCCAAGGCTGAAGTTTTTAATTAACGATACAATTCCTAATAGAGTTATAATGAGGAACATCAGATAATCTAAAAATATTGATTTCATTGATGGCTAAATGAGTATAACTAATTTAGAGAGAGAATATCAAATAGTATAAGACTATTACGTTGTAACATGCAATGTGTGAATAAAAATTTGTTATTTTACAAGGAAATCGATTATTTTCTCTTTTTTTAATTATTTTCTTTAATTCGTCATAAAGCACCCGTATTCATCATTATAGCTACGTTTCCTTCACCGTAGAGAATTGCTGAGAATTTACTAATAACGTTTCTTTTCCCTTGTTAGACCTAGCACATCTTGTAATAACGACAATTTTATCAAGATTCACTTTTGCAATTATAAGTCTTACTGGCACATATCGAAATTTATCCCAAGCAGTCAGTCCGGCAGTGTTGGTTTGTCCGAAGCGACTCAGCACATTTGGTACAACTCTGAATCTCTAACGGGAATCTCTTCTTAATTTTATGACACCTGACGCATATCATCTATGAGAAGGAAACTGTAAGGAGAAGAAAAAGATACCTGATGTTACGTATTGAGTCGTCCTCCTGTTTTACCGACTGAACATGTCGAGAAACTCAACCATCGCTTCTCCGTATTTTTAGCTGTGTGTTATCTTTATATAAATATATAATACATTCCTATTTTGATGGCCGTGGTATGCGTGAAAATATTCCTTATCAGCTAGCAAGCCCAAACAACCCGTGAAAAACTCGCGCATACCTGACAAGGCCAATAGGAATGCTAAAATGTGTAAACTCGATATGATTACATACCTGGTAAATCGATACTGTTCGTTTTTCAGATTTCACCAAAAAGTTCATGCAACTTATGAGTCTTCTCATTGGCGATATTGATAAACTCTGGATCACCCTTATCATACAGAAATTTCAGTTCTTTAATTATATTGATAATAACGTCCTCCAGTCGGCTCGTCATACTGACAGGTAATGATATTTCAAATACATTTGCAGGTCTCAAGTTGACATTTTTCATGACGCAATCAGGAATAATGGAATAGGAAGATGCTCAGGGGAATTCCAGGTTTTAATTTTGCAAATAACGACTACATAATACTGAAGCTTGTAAGAAATTATATGTTTTCTTTTGATGACGTCTATATTAATTGTCATAATACTGATACACCTGAGAAAAAATTAATTTATTCAAATGGTAATGAAAATGTGGTGTAATGGGAAGTGGTTTTTTTAAATTGTCAATATTACGTTGAAAAATAATTGAAGCAAATCATCTTCTGCACATTATCCACAGAGCGATTGCACAGATGGATTAAACCTTTCATTACGAGCGTCGGATATATCGGGCATCCGCGCGATGACCTGTGTGTCGACCCTTGTTTTAAAATGTATCATTCTGAATTAAATTACTGAAAATTTATTCAATTAAATCGTATTATTATTCATAATAATTTCAAAGTCTCAAAATATGTCGTTATGTAAAACTTAACGAAGTACGTCGAAAACTAGTTTACCGACGCGCAATGTGTACACTTCGCGGCGTAGTACCCCGTTCAGTCGCGTCAGCTTTGCGGAGCGGACTGCCGTAAAGAAAGTGTTAATATCTGTCGTCGTGCAGAGAATAAAAATATATTTTTGAACCGTCTATTTGGTCAAGTTAAAACTTATAATTACACCTGATTATAATACATAGTAGAGGATGAAGTACAGTCAGACATGAAGTATGCATTGATTTATTACAGTTTCATGGTTCCAGATCAATAAGGTCGGTAACAAGAAACGATTTTTATTTCTCCATAATTCAATATGTATACGTAGTCATTTATTTTCTCGATGTCACAATGGTGCACTTGCGTTTAACATTGTCCCTAACAAAACGATTAAACAATTTAAGTCACCCGGACACAGGCAATGCAACTTGACTAATTTCCATAAAGATAATCTTGACAAGAGCCTTGGGAAGAACGGGTTCCTCCTGACAATATCCATTGTCAATTGCAAAGCATACGGAAATCATTAAACGGATGTGATATTCGGTCGACGACCCATTTAACAAAGAAGAGCTGTTAATTTCATTGCAACGATAAAGTGACAATTTTGCATTTTTCTCAGGAATTGAGATAAAATCATCAGATGTAATTGCAACTGCACAGTGACGTGTTGCAGTTGCAACTGATAAACATAAGATCCACTGTTGTATAATAATGTGAATCTATCGTTTGTATTTAATATCATAAGGTGATAAAACATAAATTTTCTTAATCAAAATGTTGTTCTCTTTTTTTTTTAGCAAATACATCTTGAATTATGCAATGGGCTTCCTGGAATCTATGTCCTATCATTTACTCTTCGTATATGAGCGACACTGACATCCTTCGACTTATCCCCTCTTTTATACGTATCACAGATTCATATAAAAGGTGGAGGTACAGTTCTGTGCGCTTCAATATGAACATCTGCCAAATCATGGACGGACGCGGCAGAACTTTCCTCCTGCTCGAAATATTTTTCTGTCTCGTTGTCTTCGCTTCGACTGGGGAGAACAAGCAGAGTGAGTCATTAATTAGTTGGTTAGTAGGGCAGTAACAAATTTAATTGGAAGCCTCACCTGTGCGACTGTATATTAAAAAGAAACGAGTCTCACAGAAAGAAATTGAAGATTGTTCTCAGGTACTGTGCCCAGGACCACTGACGTACTACGAGGATGTGGAATGCATTCCTGTGTACAAGAACAAAGGGGATTGTTGTGCCTACAAATACAATTGTGACCATCTAAATGCTAGATCACGAAATAAGTGTTATATAAAGCACAGAAGCTACGAAATTGACGAACCTTACGGGTACGATGATAACAGCCCTTGTAATCTTGCATGTTACTGCGGCAATGGAACTACTTCGTACGTGAGAATTTCAATTCCGAACAATTTAATTGGCATGTGGGATTAAATAATATCAATTTACAGAGCACGCTTCGTTTGCGCAATTGCCGACTGTTTCTTTCCCCCTGTTGACGACGGCTGTTACCTGGATCGTAACGTTAGTCAATGTTGTCCAGGATCAGTAATTTGTCGTGAGTAATGTATGACTTGCTTATTTGAATATATTATCGTACCACCTTGATACAAGAAAAACGTCTTATATCACTTGGAATAAAAAATTAATAATGATGTTTCTTTTATTGTAGCTAAAAATGGATCGAAGATTCCAGAGTGCGTTGTGGATGGTGTGACGTACAAGGGAGGAGAATTCTTCAAACCAAAGAATGAGCCACGAAAAAGATGCTCGTGTCGGGAAGGCTATACGGGTATTTATGATTGCAAGGCGGACTTATTAAGATCTGAGGTTATTTCCAAGCACCTTGTTATAAATTTCCTAAATTCTCCAACTATGATTATTCAGGTGATAACGTTGAACCGTTCTGTATAACAACGAGTAGCAGATGCAGTACAGACATATATTATAATGAAGACATTGCCAATAAATGTGCCCCAATATATGAGTCAGATCAAAATCCTGCTACCAGCTGTAGCCCATCTTGGCGCTGCCGTAAGTTTTCTTCAGAAGATAATAAATCGATCGAGTGTCCATAATTGTTGTGTATGATATTTTTGTATTTTAGAAAACGCGAACGATACTGTAATACCAAATCCAAATGGACCCACACCCCATGAAGAAAACTGTTCTGGTGGAAAAGGTAAATTCCATTTGTTCTATTTGATTAACACTTTTAACATATGTAATGCATGCATTTAAAGTGCTACTTTATGTGGGGGCCGGGTGTGATATAATGTAACGTTTTTCGAGAAGGCGTTGCATAAATACTCTGTACATGCGCACACCGAAAACGTCACTTTATGCCACGCTCGGCCCCCACATAAAGTAGCAATTTTCCTGCATTTATTACATAAAGTAGTGTGCGATACTCGTGCGTGGAAGCGAACATTACGAGTACGCTGCACTCGTACCACAGTGGTACGCGTGCAGCTCGCGTGACTCACTTCACAGCCTACTCATAATATTGGCTTTTATGCGCTTGTATGGCGAAGTACCATTATTGCCACAGGCCGATATATCTATTTTTAGAAGCGTATATGTGCCGATCGGCCGTGACAGTAAAAGGTTTAAGGCAGTTGAATGTTATTAGCAATTGTATTGATTTTCTTTTCTCTTTGTCTATAAGATCTGACCTGCAAATTTGGTAACCTGACCATGAATCTCGGGGACGAGCTTAATCAAGGTACAGACTACACTTCGGTCTGCGTGAGATGCGTCTGCGAAGTACCACCTACACCAACGTGTAAACGTCTTAATGATAATGAATGCAATTCTGCAAATAATTCTCCGGCTTGAAAATGACTTTGGATATACATATATTACAGAGAGTTTTTGAATGCTATTTAAAGCTTGAGAAGTAAAGAGGAACTTTGAGTGAATTTGTTAGCGAAATTTGACGGAGCTACGAATATTTATATATTTATTAGAAGCCAAAAAACGAAGAATATTAAAACATAAGCAATAAATAAATATACTGGTTCCTCTTGACAGATTTGTTCTGGCATGAGTGTGCAGGACTCGTCATTGTACTTGAATTTTTTATTTGGGAGAACCCCACCCTGCAGATATCTTTTTTTGCAGAATTGTTTATTTTTCATTGTCGCTTAAACTTCATCGAATCGCCCATCAGCTTATGTCAGGATGGATTCAAAATTAATTTTTTTCGATAACCTTTAGACTAAAAAACAAACAGTTAGACAATATGCGCATGACTTTAAAATGTAATTGACTTTTTTACTTAAACGTTCCTTTTCCTGATTCGAAAATAGTCGGTAAACCTTTGAACATATTGACTGTGATCTCCTTTTTCGTATAATTTTAGACTCGCTTCTCAGGTAAAATTGTAAAAACTCACGAAAGCAGTTAGCACGTTCGTTCGTACTGATAATAAAATTAATATCAACTGCCCTCAAACTGCGCACTAAATCTAAGATTCATAGTTTTAACCGATGTGCATCTACGGTTTGCATTTTAATTTGATTAGACGAGTAAAAGGAAAATATATCTCATAGCTAAAACGCAATAGTCTTAAAGTCTCCAGTGAGATTCCCAGTATTCGTATGACATCGATCTCCACCTGGATAAAAGAAACACTAATATCTTTCCACTTTTAGCACATTTCATCTCCACTTCTCCAACCACATCAAAAGTTCGTATAAAAGATGCAGGTGCAGTTCTGTGCGCTTCAATGTGAACATCAGCCAGATCATGGACGCACATGGCAGAACTTTCCTCCTTCTCCAAGTATTTTTCTGTTTCGTTGTCTTTGCTTCGACTGGGGAGAACAAGCAGGGTGAGTCATTAACTAGTTGGTTAATAGTGCAGTACATTTAATTGCAAGCCTCACCTGTGCGATTGTATGTTAAAAAGAAACGAGTTTCACAGAAAGAAATTGAAGATTGTTCTCAGGTGCAGTGCCCAGGACCACTGATGTATTACGAGGATGTCGGATGTACTCCTCTGTACAAGAACGAAGGAGATTATTGTGCCTACAAATACAATTGTGACCATTTAAATGCTAGATCAAAAAATAAGTGTTACATTAAGCGTAACAGCTATGAATTTGGAGAACGTCTCAGAGCCCAAGATAAGGATCCTTGCAACGTAGGATGTTTCTGCACAAACGAAACAAATTCGTAAGTAAGAATTATTTGTCTGAACAATTTAATTTTCACGTGTGATTAATTAAAATTAATTTACAGAGGACGTTTCGTATGCGCAGTCGTCGACTGTTTTAACGGTCCTATCGACACAGGTTGTTACATGAAACGTAACTTAAGTCAATGTTGTCCAGGGCCGTTAACTTGTCGTGAGTAATATATTATCTGCTTATTTGAATATGTTCTCATATTATTTTGATACCAGAAAGATGTCTGCTATCACTGCGAATGAAGACAGAGTAATGGTCTTTCTTTTATCGTAGCTAAAAATGAATCGGAGATTCCAAAGTGCGTTGTGGATGGTGTAACGTACAAGGATGGAGAATTCTTCACACCAAAGAATGAGCCATGGAAGAGGTGCACGTGTCAGGAAGGCTATACAGGTATTTACAATCCCCCAAAAAACTTACGTGTAAAAACCTACGCCAAGTACAGGAGTGTTGTGTATTCCTCTAATAAAAAGTATTGATATCAGATTATGGAGGCCAAGTACATAAGTCACTCCATGTTTGCCTATTATATGATCTAGGCCCATCATTTTAATTGTATTTTTTTAAATTTCTTATAACGTTTTCACTACTCTTTTACATTACTACTGTTTCCCGTAGTTGATTATGATTTAATGGTTATTTAATAATTAATAAAACTTTAGGTGATTCCTTATCGAGTACTACTTGGCGGGTCCGTGCCAGGAATTCCAAAGTACTTACTTTGAACGTACTAATAGTATCCTAAAACTATATGTTTATTATTAAGCTTTTACCGTGATTATTTTCGACGAGTTATTGTTAATAAGCTGTATATAGAAAGTTGACATTGGTTTTGAGCTTAATGACTGGCATAATGAACGCAAATTTATGTCAAGAAATGCACGTGGTTAATAAGATATTTCGTTCTAAACACAGGTATAAGAGTTGACTCAAGTAAAGAGTCTCTGCGAGCTGTGCCCTGTACAGCCAGTTGCCTGTACTTGGCGCGAGACTCGACCGAGTCTCTTGATTGCAAGGCGCACTTTTTAAGACGTGGAGTCATTTCCAATCGCTCTATTATATTTTTTTAATTTGTCAACTTTGGTTATTCAGGTCGAAATATTGAGCCATTCTGCATAATGCCGAGAACCACGTGTAGTACTGATTTGTATCATAGTCAAGATATTGCCAAGAAATGTATTCCAATATATTATGCTGATCAAAATCCTGCTACCAGTTGTAGTCGAGCTTGGCGATGTCGTAAGTTTTTCTCAATAAGATAAAAAATCAATAGAGTGTCCATAATTGTTGTGTATAATGTTTTTGTATTTTAGAAAACGCGAACGATACTGTAATACCGAATCCAAGTGGATCCCCATCCTCTGGAGAAGACTGTCCCGGCAAAAAAGGTAAATTTCATTTCTTCTACCAGATTAATGCAATTGGATATCCTTGGAAAGTTAATCGTTCAATTCAATTGTTTATTTTTTCCCTCTTTTCTAAAAGATATGACCTGCAATTTCGGCAACCTGACCATGAATCTCGGGGACGAGATTAATCAAGGTACAGATTATACTTCGGTCTGCGTGAGATGCGTCTGCGAAGTACCACCTACACCAACGTGTCGACGCCTTAGTGACTGCAACCTTGCTACTGGTAGAAATTAACTCTTAAAATATATATATTAGTAGGGAAGAACTTAAGGTAGACTTGTCAATCACACATTACTGAGCTACTAATATTAATATTTATTATACACCAATGATCGTATTCGTAATAGTGTGTACAAAATTAGAGAATATCAAAACATAAACAGGAAAGGAATACCTATACTTTCTATTACTTCTTTTGAGTTTCTTATACACAGTGCACTTCGCTTACCGTAATAACTACTGGACATTCTGCTAACTCCATACAGTCTCATCAGTTGTATCAATAAAATCACATACTTTGACCTGGAGTCTCCTTTTCTAGAAAAACTATGTCTGGTTTTTATCGAAGTTCCGATTGTAGCATTGTTCTCGCTTTTTCGAAGTGCTCATTGGATGTCGGTGTTCGTCAACAGTGAATCGCTCAGTTCTAGCTGAAGTTTCTGTTTCGGAGAGAATGCAGTTCATGCCATTGGTTTCACAGATCGGGGTTGTGATGATTGCGGTTACGATTGTGATGATGATTTAATAAATAAAAAGTGTTCGATTTGAGGAATATAAAAGATTATATTATTGAATGAAAACGGTAAAGTAGGTTCAGTGAAATAAATAAGACGGATGATATACAAGAGAGTATGAGTTTTGTGGAAAGTATATGTGTGTCAGATTTTTACCGGGTTTACGGACATTAATTTTCTGCTAATAAATTTTAATAAAGTAATTCAATGATCCTTTGGATAATGTCAGTATACGTTATTTGTGCTTGACGATGAAGAGATAACTTTTTAGAACTTTATTTTGATCATTTTAGAGTGTTGAGTGCGAAGTGTTAAAGTTAGCATATGGAATTTGGAATATAATATATTTGGAGTAGTTTGATGGATAAATTAGTTGTCGAAGACATCATGATTATCTAATTTTGTATTATAATTGTACAGTAGGATAATAAATTTGTATTCCAAGCGCTGCAGCGCAAACGGACCTCCAATCTTTTGCTTTAATTGTTTTGCTTTAATTTCCTTTCCTTTCTTCAAAAAACCATGCCAGGTTTTTATTGACGTTTCGATTATAGCATTGCTGTCCCTTTTCCGATGTGTTCATTGATCGATGAAGTGTGTGAAACTGTCGTAAATCGAGTAAGAGCGCTGTCATTGAAAGAATTAAAGAAAAGGAGTGAGATGGGTAAGTACGTAATAGGTGGGTCATATATTTTTTTGGTATTGAACATAATTTTCTTTTTTCAGATATGATTGAAATCTGAAGTATGAATTGAATTGCATTTAGATGTGTCTGGATATTATTATTTCTACAGTTATATGATGGGCTCAAAAATGATGAGTATTTAAATGTGTGAGATGAGATAGGTAAAATTAATATAAAATTATTAGTATTAATATAAAATTATAAAGTAATATACAATTATTATTTTATATTAACAAAATCATATTTACGTTGTTAATATGTCCTTTTCGCATTAAATATAATTTTCTTTTTTTTCAGATTTTTCAGGTTATGTTGTATAGTCGGTCCACGAGCAAAATAACTTAAAGTGACGGATGTAGGAATGCGATACAAGTACGAGTAATAAAGTTTCTAGTCACCAATGCTTTTTGTCAAGGATAATGTGTAGCAAACTAATAGAAAACCATTCATTACTTTTGGTAAAAGAGCATTAGCAATTGAAATATTTTACTGCAGAAGTTGCTCGTAGGAAACATGTGTTTCCATCTGTCACTTTAAGGTTACTTTACTTGTGGACCGACTGTATTTATGTTAATGTGTCTCAAATTGGTTATTATTTATGTATTTTATTATTTAATATCACAAAAGCAGACTTTATAACTGCATAACACATAAGTAAGAGAACATCCCTAAAAAAACACTTACGTGTAAGAAACTACGCCAAGTACAGGAGTGCTGTGAATTCCTCTAACAAAAAATATTGAAATCACATTACTAATGCCAAGTACATAAATCACTACATATCTCCCTATTATATGATCTAGCACTGGCCGATCATTTTAATTGTACTTTCAAAAATTTCTATATCTCTTTTACATTACTACTGCTTCCCGTATTTAATTATGATTTAATGGTCATTTAATAATTATTAAAATTTTAGATGATTCCTTATCGAGTACCGCTTGACGGGTTTATGCCAGGAATTTCAAAGTACTTACTTTGAACGTACTAATAGTACTCTAATACTATATGTTTGTTATTAAGCTTTTACAGAGATTATCTTTGACGAGTTAATATACTATACATTTTGAGTTTAATGACTGGCATAATGAACGCAAATTTATATTAAGAAATGTACGGACCCACCAAGTAGTACTCGATAAGGAATCACCTGAAGTTTTAATAATTATTAAATGACCATTAAATCGTAATTAAATACGGGAAGCAGTAGTAATGTAAAAGAGTAGCGAAAACATTATAGGAAATTTTGAAAATACAATTAAAATGATGGGCCAGTGCTAGATCATATAATAGGCAAACATGTAGTGACTTATGTACTTGTCATTAATAATAAGATTTCAATACTTTTTTTTAGAGGAATTCACAGCACTCCTGTATTTAGCGTAGTTTTTTACACGTAAGTGTTTTTTCGGGGATTATATTTACGTCAAACATTTTTCATGAGTACGATTCAAATGTAATTCTGACATACATAGAAGGTTATCACTCACTTTTGTCTACTGGTAGAAGAACGTATCCTATGTATAGCAGAGGACGCGAATGATTATAAGTAAAAATAAACCAATTTCTTTAGATAGAAGTCGCCAGTATCGTATACAAGATGCCGAACATTGATAAGTAAGAAATTACCAACGTCCTTCGATCATCGTTGTTTCTTATCGATGTATTCAACTGCATGCATGTTTTTTCTCTGGAATCGATCTCTTGTATTACAAAACTTTAGTGTAAACGTTCAGACTAAAAATCCCCGATCTCCTACAGCGTAGCAATATTAACAGAGTTTATCGTACTTGGAGAACTCTTGTTTTGTTTAAATTCCAGGGATTCCCCCGATATGTGTAGCGAGTCTACTGCGCCGCAGAGTCATTCGTTATCTGAATAGCTTTGCGTTTTTTAGACATACTATAGGAGAGACGTAAGCATATTTAATACGTGTCACAACCATTTGCGATCGCAGAAATAGGCTGCGTGAACATGTGTGTTGTGTGTACAGGTGGCCTTGTCAAACACACATTGACTATATGACAGAGTTATTCAGTACTATTGGACTACCCATTATTCATTTTACCTTGGAAATTATTAGGTGTATGCAAAAGTTTTAGTCCTTTTTTGTTATTTTTATTTAATTCCATATAAAGTATCGATTGCATATCAATCATCAAAATATTTTCTCTCATTATCTAAGACTTTCTGCCACTTGTTGAGTAATCTTCGGATTCCTTCACGAAAAAAGGAGACTGGTTTGGAGGCAATGAAGTTATCGAGTCATTTCTTTATCTCTGCAACATTTTTAAAGCGGCGACCAGCTAAATCGTGGTGCATTGATCGGAATAGATGAGTCAGAACTTCCCAGACTAAGTTTATGATAGTTTGTTGAAAACTTTCAGCAACGTGCGGCCTAGCGTTATGCAACAAAATGACTTTGCGACATCCTCGCCCAGTAAATGGTATTTTTTTTTCGAGTTTATTAGCCAATGTATTTACTTGAAGACTTTAGCGTTCGGCTAATAAATAACGCTTTGGATATCCCAACAGATGCAAAGAAGAATTTTTTTTTCCATGGATGTTCGGTCTTGCAATTGACGTAGACGGCTGATCGGGGTCCACCCACGAGCGTTCGTGTTTAGGATTATCGTATGTTATCCACTTTTCGTCGCCGGTAACAATTTTCCATAAGAAATCCTTTTACGCTGTCTGGATAGTAGTGAAACGCATGTGCTTAATCCGGCCCTCTTGGGATAATTCATACGGTACCCACTTTTCGAACTTGTGGATTTTCCTCATTCCATACAGTCGTCTCGAAACTGTTGACTCGTCAATGCCAAGCTGTGTTGCAAGTTCCTGTTGCGTCTGGAAAGGGTTGTTACTTAACAGTGCTTCAAATTCGTCAGTATCTATTATGGACACACAATTTTCACCAAGGACAGAGCAAATCGATTACCATGCTTTAGCAATATTTTTGCCCTGTTCAAACTCGTATCGAATACAATGTCGAATATACAACTTTTCGTCGCTCATTGTGTTCACTGTTATTTTTAAGCTTATGCGCACAATTGAATCGTAAGACGTTGTTTGTAGTAAAGTTCTATACCAACTGTACAGAAACACAAAAGGGCAAGACAGAATTTGAATTAAAAGTAATTACACAAGAGCGCCGAAAAAAAACTAAAACTTTTGCATACACCTAATACATTGACTCATTATCTTCAGTTGCCGCAGTAATTGTCAATAACATTATGAAGAGTATTCTAATATGTATTTCAATACCATCAATAAATAAAAGTATGACAGCTGTGCAAGTATTCGAAATACTACGTTAAAGAACTTGAAGAGTGTCACATAATAGAGTCCTGATCTGCGGCTTTGTAACATAACTATATACACATACGGATTTAAAAATATGTAGCAAGAATAAAATAACAAATACTGTTTCGAAATCAATTTTATTAGAAAATATAAATTATTTAATCTTTGAATTATTCACATTTTACTACGATTACTTGATTTTATTACTTATGCCTAACATATGCCTCTTTTATTACAACATCAATCTGCAAGAAAAGAAGTCGCGAAACAGAGCTTGCAGTAACAGTACCTTTGTATTCTAGTATTGTTAATGCCACAATTCTTGTTCTACGATGTTGGTACTGGATATTGAAAGATCAATGACAAAATGTCTCATCGAGTTGAGCCCTGAATAGTCCGTGACATCAATTTTCGGAATCAAATGATCTACGGAAGCGGAATGTACCGGAAAGACCGACTGTGGGCTCTACTCTCCTTCCAGGGAGTTTCTGACCTCCAACACTGAGATCAATGTTGCCATCTTTACGATTAACAAGTCTGTGATTATAATCAAAGTTGTAGGTTGGACGTCGTTCAGGTCCACCAAACGGTTTTGAAAATGTACCACTCAATGATCCGAGTCTGTTATTATAATCAAAGTTGTAGGTTGGTCGTCGCTCCGGTCCATCAAGCGGTTTCACATATGTAGCACTCAATGATCCTTGAGGCTCAGGTGATCTACGGAAGCGGTATGTACCGGAAAGACCGACTGTGGGTTCAACTCTCCTTCCGGGAAGCTTTTGACCTCCAACGCTGAGATCAACGTTGCCATCTTTACGAAACGATGTTGTATTGGTGCAGATATATCATCCTATTAAAAAAAAAGTTAAATAAACCATTATTTAAATATTTCTTCTGTTTTTCTGTTTTCACTATGATAAGGACTCTACATGTATAGGGAAACTCAACGGTGCTTTAAAGTACAGCCTATAGCCCAGCACCGAACGACCTACAACTTCACTTCAGCACATCGTTGATGCTTACTATACTATATCACATTGTGTAATCTATAATTATCAAGGTACATTATGCGGGTGTTCTACAAGTTCAATAATAACTATTTACCAAAACTTACCACATAAGGAATGGGTCCCCTTGATTCATCATCTAATCCAAGAGAAGATTCAGCGAAACCCACCGCCACAAAGGCACATATAATTAGAGCGGTTGCTTTCATCATTGTATATTATCTGAAATTATTAATAATATGTTTTTAATAAATTTAATAAGTATCAATAAATTCTTAAGATCTAATAGGCTTATAATATTTTCATAACTTATTATCTGTACAATAAAAACTTTTAAAATAATAACTGAACCTCACCTTCGTTTAATTCACACTGTTCATCCCTGAAGGCGGTTGTGTTAATGCTGCTAAGTTGAAACGTAACAGCTTTTATAGCAAAGTGAAACGAATAGCATACATTCATTCCGGGGATTACCTTTTATTCATTTCAGTGTGATGTTTCATTGGAAAGATATGGCTGTACATATCTCAGATGCAGGAATCCCCTTTCGCTGTGCACACGAGACAACATTCAAGCGTCACAGCATCGTGTCATTGTACTAATAGCTGTTCCAATTTTCTAGTTAGTATCGAGCGATTATCGATAAGAGGAATTGTTAATAAGTGAAAGATAGGCAAATTAACTGAAAATTATTTTACAGTTTTATTTAATTCAGCTTTGCATTGTATATGCGTTTCTGTTACGTTATAGATAAGAAGGAACAAAGAAAAATATAATCAAACTGATACAGATTTTTATATTAATAGAGACAATTACTACATTCTTCACGAATCCATTATTAAATATTAGAGGAGTCACACTAATCGGATTTCCTTGTAATTTTAATGTCTTTATACTTGAAAAGAAACTATTTGTTAAACTGTCAGTCTTGTGCCTACTACTTGTTAACACACTTCACCTGTCTGTTTGCGTATTTGTATCTCATTTCTACACCTGAAAGTTTTTCCACCATGTCAACCCTAATGAACAGCTGAATTTATTTGCACCACAAAACTATTTGTGGGACGCACGTTCTTAGTTTTTAAATAAGAGCCGATTAAAAATAACTAATGAAAGTGAAGCGACGACGGAAGTAGTAGGCACATGCGTGCCCGATGTTTTCTTCCCAAGCTTCTTTTTTCACAATCTCAGCAAAACAATGTAGATAAAGACCATATAAATTTCTCATATTACTGCAGTGGTATTTCGATAACTCGAACCTCGAAGAATTTAAAGTTAATTTACATAGATCGAAACTACTGTAACTCGAAGCATATTTCGGTTTCTTTGAAATTCGAGTTATCGAAGTTTCACTGTATAATGTTTACAGAATATTTTTTCCGTAAAGGTAACCATCGACTGCCACAGCTGGCCCAGTATCATTTGCTAAGTCTGACTGATAATCGGTCACCATTGTTAGGCCGGTGTTTACCTTTGGCATATTTTTTGTTGTTGAACAGGTAATGGTTGTCATTATCGCGCATTAACGAATTACTGGCACCCACTGAGGAGACCAGTGCTGGATTAATTATAAAATCCTGTACTGGTTATCAAGATACTATGACGTATGCACAGCTGATGCAGGAATTCTCTTTTTCTGTGTACACGATAATGAACTTTTGAATGGCGCAATAAATCGTCTGATATACTATTAGCTGTTTAAAAGCTCTAATTGGTCTCCAGTGACTATTGATTAATAAAATTGTTAATAGCTTTGGTAGGTACGTAGAATCGGCAACACATTATTTTATTGATATATTTCTTTTTATTTTCATATAGAATTTACTTCTGTTACTTTGCAGATGAAGAGGAAAATAAGAATGCAAGAACGGAAATAAGACTCATGGTTATACAGTATTTGAATTAAGATATTCATCTATGTGGTAATGGATAAAATATCTATTAATGTTATTAATTTGCCGTACTTAGACTGGTCCATACGTAGACTGGTTTAAAGACGATACAATGCCGACTACCCAATTGTTGGTAGATTATTGTTATTCACTAATCGGCCAATCATTGAGCTCTATTGCAACCTCTGGCATTTCCTCCATAGGTTATATCATATAATTTAGAAATAAAATGCTTTGTTAAGTATTCGTAATTTACTAGCTAATTCTCGACTATAATTTCGCCATCTTATCAGAAAGTATACACATTTTTCCCAGTTTCAAGAAGCCGAGACAAACGAAAGAGATACTGAAATACGGTAGCTTGGTGCTTCCCCCACAGCACAAAATGTTCCGGATAATCTCGCGTTGCTCATTCAGTACACGAAACTTAATGATAAGTCTACTTATAACGTTGAATAATGCATATATAAGTCAGGGCTTGAGACCAGAGATATATACACTCTCCAATCTTCTCTCGAGAAGCTCTACGGTACGTAGTAATTTGCAGCACAAATAATAATTTGCAGATAATTGGTAGTAGAAGATTCTTACAACAAATTCAGTTTTACACAATTCAATAAAATAGACTCCTTTGATATATTCTTGCAAATTTGTTTTTATTTCTTCAAGCTTCATATATACAAAATATAATTGGCTAAATTAGAAGTTTGATGGTATTTATTGTAACGGAATCATCGATAATTACATTCTTATATACATAAATTACCTGAATCAATTACAATTAACATATGATTTATATTTTTAGATAATCAACATGAAATTGTTCGTCGCTGTCGCCCTCTTGTGCGCCGTAGCCGCAGTTTCTGCTACCTTGCCAAATCAAAGATGGCCACCTCGTTCAACTGGACCTACTTTCCCACGTCCGAATA